GAAAGGGGTTTAATGATACTCACAGATACCACTCTCACCTAACACTCCATTCCAGGAAAATCCTACTCCTTCTTTGAAGTCCACCTGAAACCTCAGCTGCCTTCTTTAGTGAAGCCTTAGGCACACCCACCTCATTCCCAGACACAGTGAATTATACTCTCTTCTCTCTGATCCACAGAAGTTTTCACAGTGTTACTTTTACAAACTCTGTGACTTTGTGTATAGTAAATGTTCAAGTTGTCAAATATGAGCCAGTTTTTTTCACATGTATTAATCTTTGTAATTTTAATCCCTAAAAAAGATTATGATATATAATTGGTGCTCAGTCATTTTCTTGGATAAATTACCAAGTATGTCTCTTCATATAAGCAGTATAGGTCCACCCAGAAGAGAGATCATCAACCAAATCCAGCCTCTAATAGTTTTTAGTAAAAAAAATCCTGCTGGAATATAGCCACAATCTTTCAGTTACCTGCAGTCTACGTTCACACTACAGTGGCAGTGTTGAGTAGTTAGGACAAACACTGTATATCCCAGAACTTAAAGTATATACCATGTGACCCTTTACAGAAAAAGCTTCCTGAGATCTAGGTTAGAAGTATATTTCCCTCCATTCAGTTGTGTTGGATAAATTCTGAGAATGGCTTAATCACTAGCTACTATTTATCTAGAATTTTAAAAAACTCTTTTTGGTCTATGCTGTTACTACAATGATGATTAAAGTTACCACCGGGCTTGATTGCAAGCCTGAGGATCATACCCTGGTTTCTCTAAATGGAGTTAAGTGTTTTCTTAATTCTATCAATATCAACTTTTTAAGTCATTATTTTTTTCTAATATCTGAGGAACCTCAGTGGAAATTAAGTTAAAAAGAATCCCATTATAACTAGCTAAATGTTAGTATCTAACTGGACATCAGTTAAATTAGAAATAGAAGACTTTTGTTCTAGAGGTTTGTTTATACAGATATTTTCCTCATTCCTAGTACATGAGCAACCCAAAACTAAAGATTTGGTCTTCAGACTCACATACCAGTGGGCCTTTGTTTGGTCACGGTTAGGTAAAGTAAACACTATCAGTTTTCTATGCATAATTGCTTGAGATTATTATTCTAAGTTTATGTGTGGTTATTAACACATTGTGTGACATAGAATACGTCTTCACAAATATTTATTGAATGAATGTCCTGATAACTACAACCTGGCTCTTTAAAAGCTTTTAAGACTCATTGCTTGTTAATATATTGCATTAGGCCTCTGTAAGTATAACTTGAGTAAAATTATACCACTGCTCAGGTTGCATTCAGCTGAGGTTGGTAAATAAAGCTTGACAAAAGGAATACAATTAGAGTAACCATTCAAAGACTAAAAAAAAAAAAATTATATATAAGAAGTACATATAAGGTAACATTTACCAAGACAGACACATACAATCTGGATTTAAAGGAGTAGGACTATCCCAACCTAGCCAAAGTAGTTCATTTATGCAGGGCAGGGTAGGTACCCATACAAATAAAGGTAGGTTAAGTCTGTAGCTCTAGAATTTAAATAATTTGGATTCTGTATTGTATTACTAGGAAACCACAAGATATTTGGTCAGAGGAGTTAAAAGGACAAGACACTAGGTATGGAGAAGCTGTGGTAGGAGACATTTATAAGGTGGTAACTTCTAGGGGAACAATAGGCAGTGATAGGAAATGATTCAAGAACCCCTGTAACAGAAGTGACTAGAGAATAAGAGGATGAAAGTGAGACAAAATAGATTGCAGGGATTTTCACCCCTGAATATTTGGTCTGGTCATTAACAGAAAATAGAAAATCAGAATGTTCTTATTTCCAGTATGGGAGAAATAAGAATAGCTCATTTTTTCTAACAGAGGAGGTCATGAGCTTAGGAAAAGAGCAAGGGCCAGCAGGTGGGGGTCTCCATTACAAAGGAAGAGATAATCCAGCATTCCACGACTAGTAAGATAAGGAAGAATCCAGTCTAAGAAAAGACTTTAGGATTTAGCTACCAAGAAATAAATCATTTATTGCCTTTGAAAGTGAAAACTAGGTTGCCAAAGCTTAAAGCTGAGGCACCCAGTCTGGGAGTTCAGAGGTATTAGAGATATTTTATAAAGCTTAATGGAAGTCTTAATAGCAAACAAAAATGTCATACTTATTTCCCCTTTCCTGAAAGCATATGAATCCAGTGTTGATTTTTATGCAGACTAGATAAGATGTGTGTTATATCTGGATTTGATTGATTTTAAAATGGGACAGTGTGTTGTTTCTTAAACTTGCTTCTTCAGCCTTGCAGAATCACTCATTTTAGTGTTTCATGGGACACACTTTGGCAAACATATAAGATACTGACATGAGGTTGCCCAGCAGCAAGCTCTGAGATGGGCAGAATCAAGCTTTTAGTCCCAAGATATTTCAATAACTGTGTCATTAATAGGTTACAGGGTGTTTCCTTATCCATTGTCTCAGCTGGTCTTCTCACCACTCATTAAAACATCTGCCAGAGAGCCCTAATTCAGAAAGTAATCAGGCAGTCTCCTTGTAACTCTGCACAGTCCTAGCCATTAAGAGTTGCTGATCTGGAAGAATTCAGCACTTTCTATTCTTCAGCTTTTATTAAGAAAATTGAAACCTTTTTTTTTTTTTTGAATGCCTTCCCTTTAAGTTCATTAGCAAAAACCACCTTAGACAGCATTTGTGCCGTGTCTGTGGATTTTGTGTGTGCGTGTGTGTGTGTGCCACATCAGTACTATTTAATTCAGTTACTCAGAGTAATGGTGCAAATATCCATAATAAATATTTGAGTCTAGAAGTAGATTTTGACACGGACGTATTTTTGATTCTTGAAACTCATTATGTACATTTCAAGAAATTGATTATTGTAATCTGAGTATTATTAACTAAAAATATGAAAAGCTCATTGCTGACAATCCTTGGAGTATTTGTCAATTTATATTCCATGCCAGAAAATTTCTATAAACTCTTTAAAAATCAAAAAGATAGAAGCATATACACCAACAAGCAATTAAGGAGGAGTAATTTCACACACGAAAGTGGATCAGATTTAGAACACTATTTTTAAATCATCGCAGATATCAAATATACTGACACATGACACCAGAGCACTGTACTTTGCTAAATAGATCCAGGTAGAACTTTAGGAATTGTCTACCTTGTCTGAGGTGGAAAGGTGGAATATATGCCACCAGTGGAACCTAGTTCTTACATGTGACATTAAATTCCATTCACAAACCTTTCTTATGATGGGTTTCTGGAATCTTTTGGAGCACCCCCATTCCTCCTCCGTCCCTGCAGTTGCTCCCCTTTTGAGAGCCAGCATAACTCAAAGAGGTAAAGATAGTGCTGTGGATATTTTGGCATCTTCCACAACTCATGAGACCAGACCAGTGGTGTTTCAGCCAAATTATTCAGAAGGACCTTTTGAAAGATATGAAAGATCGCTGAGATCCTGCTTAGGAAGGATCTTCCACATTTTGCCCTCCTCTGTCCCAGGACTGACTACAGGATATTAGCAAGGGCGAGATCAAAAGGGAAAGCTTTGACTCACTCACTCTCTAAGCTTCTCTCAGAGGTGATGTTATACACTGGGCTTTGGAGATATAGGGGAGATGGGCTGGGTTCTTGTCAGAAAGCATGGAACTTCAAAAGCCTGAAAGTTATGGAGGACAGAGACCAGGCAAACGTTTGAAGCCTTGGTTGAAGCAAGAGAAGGAACAAAAGAAAAGTCATATTGGTCTGTGCATTGAATGCAGCAGATGATTTGATGGTGTTTTGTTTTTGTTTTTTTGTTTGTTTGTTTTATTTCTTTTTTATCTTTTTCATTTCAATATGCTTGAAGCTGAAACTCTTTGTGATGAGTATTGGGCCTCTGTCCAACAGGACTTCTGCATAAATGAGTGTTCTTGAACTCACTATGTTTCCTACATTTTATAAAATGCATCTATGTTTTCTTTTACACTTGGAAATTAAGGAAACCCTTAGATTCAGAGATATACTGACTTTTGACTCATCATTTTACAAAATAATAAATTTTTCTTTTTCACGTGTGTGTATGTTCTAGATGGTGCCAAAGGTCCCCGATCACTAAGATCATCTAGTTCACTGGTGGTGCAAGGAGGAAAAATTAAGCGGAAGTTTGTGGATCTGGTTTCTTATGATGGGTTTCTGGAATCTTTTGGAGCACCCCCATTCCTCCTCCGTCCCTGCAGTTGCTCCCCTTTTGAGAGCCAGCATAACTCAAAGAGGTAAAGATAGTGCTGTGGATATTTTGGCATCTTCCACAACTCATGAGACCAGACCAGTGGTGTTTCAGCCAAATTATTCAGAAGGACCTTTTGAAAGATATGAAAGATCGCTGAGATCCTGCTTAGGAAGGATCTTCCACATTTTGCCCTCCTCTGTCCCAGGACTGACTACAGGATATTAGCAAGGGCGAGATCAAAAGGGAAAGCTTTGACTCACTCACTCTCTAAGCTTCTCTCAGAGGTGATGTTATACACTGGGCTTTGGAGATATAGGGGAGATGGGCTGGGTTCTTGTCAGAAAGCATGGAACTTCAAAAGCCTGAAAGTTATGGAGGACAGAGACCAGGCAAACGTTTGAAGCCTTGGTTGAAGCAAGAGAAGGAACAAAAGAAAAGTCATATTGGTCTGTGCATTGAATGCAGCAGATGATTTGATGGTGTTTTGTTTTTGTTTTTTTGTTTGTTTGTTTTATTTCTTTTTTATCTTTTTCATTTCAATATGCTTGAAGCTGAAACTCTTTGTGATGAGTATTGGGCCTCTGTCCAACAGGACTTCTGCATAAATGAGTGTTCTTGAACTCACTATGTTTCCTACATTTTATAAAATGCATCTATGTTTTCTTTTACACTTGGAAATTAAGGAAACCCTTAGATTCAGAGATATACTGACTTTTGACTCATCATTTTACAAAATAATAAATTTTTCTTTTTCACGTGTGTGTATGTTCTAGATGGTGCCAAAGGTCCCCGATCACTAAGATCATCTAGTTCACTGGTGGTGCAAGGAGGAAAAATTAAGCGGAAGTTTGTGGATCTGGGGTAAGTACTTCATGATGTAAAAAGCAAGTCTTTCATAAAAGGAGAATTAAAGGAGGAGTGTTCCGTTTCCCCTCTTTGACTGTATGCTGTCATTATAGGGCACCTTTGCGAAGGAATTCCAACAAGGGAAAGAAATGGAAAGAAAAAGAAAAGGAAGCTAATAGGTTTTCTGCAGGTAACAGGTATGAATGGTTGATGAATAACACAGATTTATTTCTGTACCTAAACTTTTTGGCCCTCTCTTCCATTGTCAGTCAATATTAGTGGTAAGTATCTTTTGAGTTGAAGTGATATGCCTAGACTTGAGATGGAAGAAAAATTCTAGAGTTTAAATTAATCTTACCCTGATTATAGTCTACATCTGGCCTTGGGCATATTAATTGGACTTCAATTGCAGAATGATGTTCACATGAACAGTTTCAGTAAACATTTATATTAATAAAGCAGAAATACATATGTATGATATTTTAGTTTTTGTTTGTTTTTGTTTTTGTTTTGTTTTGTTTTTGCCTAGCTACCCACCATGATCGTTAAGACTGAAAGATTATTTTACATATAAGTACCTTGATGGCATTCAATACGGTCTTATTCACATGCGTGTAAGGACCACTGTCTCTTGCTAGATTTAATTGATTTTGCAGGCTTATAAACTTTGCTTACTGCTCTTACCATAAAGATGTTCTATAAAGAAGTGAGCTTTGAACAGTGTCTTGTCAAATTTTCCCAATTTTATTCTGAGTCTATCTGAATTTAAGCATAGGCCTGGCCTGTGTCGAGAGACACTGATGGCATACCACTCTGAAGTTTAATGGCCTGGGTTGGAATCTTAGCTCTCCCACTTATACCTTTTAAGTTTTGTTCAAGTTATTTAACCCTTTGTGCCTCCACATTTTTTCCTTATAAAATCAATGTACTAATAATACCTACCTCATAAGATTAACATAAGTTACCATGGAAAGCATTTAAAATGGCATTTGGCATATAAGAGGTATTAAAAAATAATACTAGAGATAGTTTGCTTCTATTATTACTAATATTTAGAAGTTACAAAGTAGTTTCACATTATCACTTTATTTGATCCTTGTGGTAAGAATGAATGGGGCCAGCAGGTGGTATAATGATTAAGGCTCTGGACTCTCGTGGTTCAAGTCCTGGATCTGGAGCCTTGAAATTCACACTGGGCACATGTGTGTGCATGCCAAAATCCCAAGAGCAGGATGAAGGAGAAGGAATTGCAGCCTGGCCATTCCCCAAGGGAGTGATTTCTCACTTTCCCTCTCACTCTCTCTCTTTCTCCCCAGTGAACACACATGGCCTATGGCAAGAAAATAAAAATTTTTTAAATAATAATAATAAATTGGGAGGGCAGATCATACAACTATACTTTATTGATGAAGAACTTCACTTTCACAGAATTTAACTGTTTTTCCTAGAGGTATGCAGCAGGTAATTCAGGTCAAACTGGGGCTGGTGCCTCTTGTGTAGATGGTTTTCCAACACATTGTGCCACCTCAAGTTACTTCTACATCTAATGATGCTTACATTTCTTTATGAAATTTAGGAAACAGCTTGATATCATAGTCTAAGCAAGAAACAAACAAAAGGCTATAAATTCATTTGAAAATCATTTATCTACTTCATAGGCCATCACCTGCTATTTTCTTTTCTTTCTTTTTTCTGACATACACCTTAGTGAGAAATTATAGGAGACATTATAGGAGGATGGGGTGGGGGATAAGGTAAGAGAATTCTTATATTCATCATATCTGTCAGCCTGAGTTTCCTTTATGCTGTATGATAGGGAAAGTGTGGGAAGCCCTCATTATACCAAAGACAACAATCTCAGAAAAATCGTTCAGAAAAAATATAAGTCTATGTGCAACCTAGAAGCTGTTTTTGTTTTTGTTTCTGTTTTTGTTTTGAGAGATTTTTGCCACAGGGCACGTGTGCTCATCAGATAGATAGAAACCAAAAATCACCCCCCAAGGGGGATGGCCACACTACAATCCCTTCTCCTTCATCCTCCTCTGGGGATCTTGGACATGCACGAACATGAGCCCAGTGTGAGTTTTAGGCTGCTGGGTCCAGGATTTGAACTGTGGTCGGCTACGTGGGAGTCCAGCAATATAACCATTACACCATCTGCTGGCCCCAAAGCGGTTTAACGTTGTGTGCTCTTGGTGTGAGAAATAGAAAGTAGTCTACTTTGCGCCTTAAAATTAAGACTAAGAAACTCAAACATATTACTTCCTAGTAAAGACATAATGACCCAGATCCAACATGAGACAAGTAGAGCAAATAAATAAAGTTAATAATAATAATAGGCCCAATGGAGATATGGTTTGGTTCTATCCCTTTTCAAATGCATGCTTGGTAAATAGGCAGCACAGCAGACAAATCAGGAAACAGTTATCAGAGATTGTTTGTCCCAAAGGTACATGGCAAAATGTTAAATAAAATACTGTCCTAAATTCCAAAGTAGCCACAGATGTCATTGGAGCATCTGCTTTGGAGCTCTATGGAGAAGCTCCCAGTTTCATAACTGAAAGGCCTGTGAATGGACGTTTGTATTTCAGACAAGGTGAGAAGATGGTATTTTGGGAGGATGATGGTAATGAAAATGGCACTCCTCTGTAGAGAGTTTGCATTCACCTTCAGAGCACACGGTGACACTGAACTGGAATCCAAGGTAGTAGTCCAGACTTTGCCGTAGGTTAGCCTCTGAATTTCTAGAACCTTGATATTGTACCAAAAAGTAAGTGGAATGGACAAAAACTACATGGTCAGTAAAATCCTCATGCATCATATATGTGCACTATCCAATATGGCCACCTATAGTCAGATATGGCTACTGAGCTCTTAGAATGTGCTGATCTAAGTTGAGATGTGCTGTAGGAGAAAATGCACGTTGAGTTCAAAGATGTAGTATGAAAAGATGTGAGCTATTTTAGTAGTAATTTTATACTTTTGATTACATGTTAAAATAATATTTTAAGGGTCAGCAGGTGACATGGAGGTTAAGGAGCTGGATTCCACATGGCTGACTGTGAAGTTAGAGTCTCAGACTCAGAGGCTTGAGAATCATTCCTGGCATGTATGCCTGTGTGCCCAAGGGGAGAATGGAGAAGAGATTGTAGCATGGCCATCCCCCCAGGGAGTGATTTCTCATTTTTCCTTTCTCTCTGTCTCTATCTGGTGAGAGAATATGCCCTGTAGCCTCTCCCTAAATAATAGATTTGGGGGTTAAATAAGATACATGTGTGTGTATATATATGTATGTATGTGTGTGTATATATACATATATATATACACACATATATATAATATACACAGATTCTATCTATATGCACACCCACACACATTCTCTGTGTGTGTATATAATATATATACATATATTTAATATATATACACATATATACATATATACACATATATATAATACACCACACACACAAAATATGTGTGGGTGTGTATATAGATAGAATCTATTTTTGGATTATTAGGAGGATTAAAAGGGTCGCATTTTAAGTTTGCACTATTTTTTTCCTTGCTACTAGGCGTATGCACTCACTAGAGAGAAACAGAAAGAGAGGGAAAGTGAGAAAGCACCTCCTGGATGGATGATCACACTGCAGTACACCACAGTCCCTGCTCCTCCATTGTCCTCTTGGGAATTGAGGCACACATGGACATGCACCAATGCATTTTTCAAGGTGCTGGGTCTGGGACTCAGTACACACAGTGCCACATGGGCTCCAGGCAGTGCCTCAATCACCACACCACTGGCTGGCCCCACTTAAGTATACTTTAAGTACTTAGTATAAAAGCTATCATTATTTATCTTTAAAGCAAGTTTAATGGGAGAGAGGTAAAACAAAGTATTCTCTGTACTTATTTTGCTGATAGCCTTGTTCATCCAAGGATGACTTCGTAATCTTTTGAAAAATGAATGGGCTATATAGATTACACTTCAGGCAATCCTTCATAGATGATAGTTTTTTCAAAGAGGCTTTAGATAAATCACAGTGTGACAGGGAGTTTGAGATTATATCCTGTGACAAGTACCTGGAGGACAGCTCTGCTCTGTTTCTGAGTAAAGGTAGAGCCTCTACTTAACAGTCATCTGAGCTAAGGGAAAGCACACCTGTTTTGGAAGAGTTGAGGATCAAGATGAGCACATGTGTATGAACAGAAAACACTTTACCTCTGCCTAAACCTGGCCTAGAGAAAGCTGTCACTTTCACAGAGACCTTTGAGTGTCAGCTTAGCTTTGCATAGAATAGACTTATCTGCCCCACTCAGGCCTTTTCTATCTACATTTGTAATTTACTCCAGTTTTCTTTTCAGTACTTCAAATGCTTGAAACCTGACAAACTTATATTCCTGTGTGAGTACTTCTTCATACAAAAAAAAAAAAACAAAAAACAAAAAACAAAACAAACAAACAAAAAAAAAACAAACCTCATGAGACCAGTAGCTGGTGTAATGGTTGTGTCACTGGACTCCAACATAGTCAGCCGACTGCAATTGGAATCCAAGACCCAGTGACTTAAAAATTCACGTGTGCGGGTATGCCCAAAATACCAGGATGAGAATGGAGGAGAAGAGATTGCGGTGTGGCCATCCTCACTGGGGGGGTGATTTCTTGCTGTCTCTCTGTCTCTGTCTCTCTAGTGAGCACACATGCCCTACATTAAAAATATCTCTCTCTAAAAAAAAAGAAAGAAAAAAGTGCCCTTGGAAATCTAGTAAGTTAAAATTGTAACTGTAGTGACTCTATTTTTTAATAATTATTTAATTTTTATTTATTATTATTTTTTAATTTGACCAGAGAGAGAGAGAAGGAAAGTGAAAAAGCAAGCTGCCAGGTCCAGGACTCAAACCACAATAGACCATGTGAGAGTTCAGCACCTCAACCACTATGCCTCCTGCCAGCCCTGTGTAGTGACTCTAAACAGCTCAATATTCTTATCTGTTGTGGTCAACTTATTTTGTATATTAAAAACAAAAATCCAAAATGTGTTTAGGTCATTAAAATGAATTTAAAAAGTCAATATGGAACCAATGGGCAAATTTCTCTCTTGGGCTTTTAGTAATAAATATTTTCTTAAACCTATAATAAACACCTAAACAGTATTTTCTTTTCCTAAACAGTTGTGTTCTGATTGTATAAATGTTATTT